GAGATAAGCTAATGATCATTATTGCTGTTGGAAAATTACAGAACATAGCTAATTACGGGGCCCGAGGAACGCATACCTTGTTTGTGAATGGGACCGAGAGCCCAGAATGGTGGGCCGGGCTTCCAGCTGGCTGCCCAGGGCACGGAAGACACAGCCCACCTTGTTCGAGTTGGCGGTTTGTTCCGATGACGACAAAGGAGCGTTCTTGGGCCCCGACACAGCATAAAACTGAGCAAAAAGAAACATGGAACACAAATTAAATAACCGGATGCCTACAAGGATCCAGGCGCAGCAGCCCGCACTTAAAAGATGCGCAGGGGATACAGCGCGTGGTCAAGAACACAGGCTCTGGTCCGCTCCGGCTGGCCTGTAAGCTGTGTGGTCTCGGCCTGCATGTTTAACTTCCACACGCCTTACTTTCCTCACCCGTGGGGAAGAGTGGTAACAACAGTATGTTTATGACAGAGTACATACAGCCTGGGAACTGTCTGCAGCCCACAGCAAGTGCTAGATACTATTATTTCATCTGATTATCGCCTTTATTTGACTGCTTCTAACACTCCATCGGAGGGATGGAACTGGCGACCTGCAGGCACTGCCCTCTGGAGCTACTACAGGGTCGGCAGAGGATGTGGGAAGAACTCGGTGGCTGCAAAGACCAGTCCCCCGCAAGCAGACAGAGGCCAAGCGAGTAAGTGATTTAGCAGGCCACCCAGAGCAGAAGGCCTTGTCAAGGCAGAAGCAAAGACTGGAATTACATAGCCTCAAGCCACAGCACGCCTGGAGCCACTGGAAGCTGCAGGGGGCCGGGCAGGTGCCTCCCCCGGGGCCTTCTGAGGGAGCAAGACCCTGCCGACACCTTGATTTCACACTCCCAGCCTCCGGAGCGGTGGGAATAACTCTTGTTGTTTTAAGCCACCGTGTTTGGGGTAACTTGTTACAAAATCCTTAGGGAAGTAATACAGGGCTTAATAAATGCACACTACTCCTATCATCTGTTGCTCTTCTTTACCACCCTCCCCACCCCCCCCCCGAACTGAAAGCTGTCAAAGGAGGGCAGGCTTCCACGGGGTGCCCAGGCTGCGCCCCAAGGAAAAGGCCGTCTGGAGGAACGGAGGCCCCGCTCCTGCCGGGCTGCGGCCCCTCCCTCCTGCTGCGGGGGGCCCCCTCTGTCGCTGGGGGTCTTTGGGCCAGGGCCTGGGAGGCCGGCAGCACACTCGCACTGAGCCCAGAGATCCCACGCCGCGGCATGAAGGGAATAATTGTCAGCGAGATCCCAGATTGTTTTGTCACATACACTTTGCAATATGACAAGTAGGCGTCCAAAATATGCTCCAGGAGGGGGAGCAAGACATTTTCCAAGAGCCTACTTGGCAGCCAGAGGCCCTCTGCCGAATCCAGTGCCAGTCTGGTTCTTGGCTTCCCTCTTCCTGCCATGTGATGCTGTGTCACTCAGGGCGGGGCGCGCCAACTGAGAGCCACCGGGGGGGGAGCCAAGCCTGCTTCCCGCGGGGCGGGGGCAGCGGTGGTGGGGGTGGGGGAGCATCGGCTTGACTATATTGGCTGCTTCAGGATGTTTCCGGATGACGTCATAATAACAGCTCTCTTCCTCTCATCATAAAAGTAACAACAATCAAGAGTATGAGGTGCACCCCCTGCGTGCGACGTTCGTGTGCAACCCGTTTTTTAATCTCCACCATAATTGTAGGAGGTGGGGATTGTTATAATCATCTCTCTGCCACAGAGAAGCAAATGGAGGAAGGAGGAAGTCAAACCCTGTGCCGGAGATCCCATCTCCAGGAAGCGGTAGAGGCACCGGCCCCTTCTCACCAGCCCGGCTGGAAAGCCGGGACCGGGGGTGCACCGCAGCCTCGTCACCTACCCCCCCCCCCCCCCCGCCGTCCTGCACTTGGCTGCACGAAGGACCAGAGCGCCCTCCCTCCCACAGAGCGTGCTCCCCTGCATGCGGGGCGCACGCCCTTGGACTGGCTATTCCAGACAGGACGTGTGTGGGTAGGACTGTTAAAATGTGGGAAATGTACGTGGCTAGCGGGATCATTAAGTCACGGCAGACTGCGTTTTCTCCTGCTCCAACCTCTTTCCCCAGAGCCTGGCAAGCACAGATGCTCAAGTCAGAGAAAGCCTTGTGTCGTGTAACTCAGGGAGCTGCTGCGCTGACATTACGGAGGGAGACTGACAGGCCTTCAACAGAGCACGGTGCAAAAGGAACGTTAGCAGTAGGTTAATATTTGCTGTTTAAAAAGCCTCATTGTGGCCACACCCATCTATAATCCTACCAACAGTTCACCGCGGCATTATTTACAACAGCCGGGATTTGGAAGCAACCCAGGTGTCAGTGAGAAGCAATGAATAAAGAAAATGTGGCATGTGTACAATGGAATATGACTCAGCCATAAAAAAAGAGTGAATCTTCCCATTCGTGACCACATCGGTACCCAGAGGGTATTTATGCCAAGTGAAATCAGTCAGAGAAAGAGGGACGCCACATGATTTCACTTATAGGTGGACTCTAAAAAAGACAATACAGCAACAGGAACGAACTCATAGACACAGAGAACAAAGAATCGGTGGGAGTGGGTGAAAAGGGTGAAGGGATGAAGAAGTGCAGGTAGCCTGTTATAAAAATAGTCCCAGGGATGTAAAGTACAGCATAGAAAATACAGTCACTAATACTGTAATAACTGTGTGTGGTGCCAAGGGGTACTACACTTATCAGGGGGAATCCCTTCGTAAGGTGTATAAGTGTCTGATCACTATGTTGTATGCCTGAAACTAATTAATTTTGTATGTCAACTGTATTGGAAAATAAGTTTTAAAGCTATTTTTTAAAGATTATTTATTTATTTATTTTTAGAGAGGGAAGGGAGGGAGAAAGAGAGAGAGAGAGAAACATCAATGTGCGGTTGCTGGGGGTCATGGCCTGCAACCCAGGCATGTGCCCTGACTGGGAATCGAACCTGCGACACTTTGGTTTGCAGCCTATGCTCAATCCACTGAGCTACACCAGCCAGGATTTAAAGCTATTTTTTAAAGGGTTCATTGAAGCCAGATAATTCCAAGGGCCTCTTCCCTTCTCCTTTCTACCTATAAGATCTTGCTACGGACTGTCCACCCCACAGTCACCCCTCCGTCCTTCCTTCCTACCCAGCTCAGGCTTCATCCTGCCGCAGCTGCATCTGACTGAAAAGCAGTGGGCCTCACTCTCAGCTCCGGGGACCGGCTTGCTTGGCCCAAGGGGAACCCTGTCCTCTCTGCCAGCGACTGCTTTAGGAAGGGTCGTCCCCCAATTCTAGCCAAGGAAACATGAGAGGAAGTCTTCTGGGGTGAGTGGCAGCCTGACGGCCTCTGGGAGAAATGTCTTTGTGTCTAAGACAGAGCCTCAGAAAGAAATGGACCCCTTCTTCCTCCAAGTCTTGTCACGTATGGACTGATGCTCAGAACTGCTGCCCCCATCTTGCCCCCGGCCCCAGAAAGGAGCCCGCTGTTGATGGCAGAGCAGAGAGATAGAATCAGCCCCTAAATGCCATTGTTGAATGGGTGATTCAGCCACTGTGGATCCGCCCGGCTCCTGGAATTCCTGATGTGTGAGATAATAAATTCCCTATTGTTTAACCAGCTTGAGTCAGGGTTTTTGTTTCTGCCACCAAAAGCATCCTGACTAATATGGGATTCAAAGCAGACTCTCCTCCCCCTCCTCCCCCACCCTGCAGCTGAACTAAATGCCACTGAGAGTCGCCAGCCACCCATTCCAGGGGGCAGCGCACAGAGGAGGCAGGACCTGGCGGGGCGGGCAGGTGATGGAATACGAGAGGGGTCTGGGATGAAGGCTCCATATCCATGGGCAGGCGGAATACACGAGAGCATCACCCCTGAATCTCCACCATCGTCCTTATTCTGAATGTGCTGGACCACAGTGTTTGAACCTGAAAGAACTGACGGAACATTTTCCATAGTCCCATATGGCGTTTCCCTGGGCGACAGTACGCCATTCTTTTGAAGGTCGTATCACCATTTCTTCCGTGAAATTCAGTATACGGCTGGGTTTTCGGATTGTTGGCCCCAATACAGTCTTAAAAGGCCCAGCAATCCCACTCCTCTGTTTTGTGGATGGGGATCTAAAGTCTGGGGAAAGAAAGCAATTCCCCTAAGCAGTGTAGAGCAAGCATGTGGAAGAGCCAAGACTGAAATACAAGTCCCCTACCTCCCAAGCCAGGGGTCCCCCCAGTGCGCCACTTATGACCCATAAGTATATACCGAGAAAATATCTGTGGATTTTATTAGCCAGGACAGCTTTTGATGGTCAAATCAACTTAGGAAGTGCTGCATTAAGTAAGTCATGTTAAAGGTTTTTCTAAACTGGAGGAACTTTTCATCGTTTTTGGTTCTGTTTTCTATGCTTATTTGTTTGTTTGCCAGGGACGCTCCGTGAATGTCTAAAGCTGCAGTGCAGTACATGCTCTTTCTCAAATCTGTTGGGCCGTAGAACCTTTCTTTCTCCCAGAGCATCTCTAGGAACTGTATTCTGCAAATTCCATTTTAACGAATGCACCACATGGACCTGCCCCCAGAGGAAGGGAATTAGGTCAAACACAAAGAGAAGCAGAAACAGATGGGGTAAGGGAGAGTGGATACATGAATAAATGGATGGATGGATGGATGGTGCATGGATGGATTGAAGGATGGGTGGATGGATGAATGGAATGATGGATGGATAGATAGATGGAATGAATGATGGATGGATGGATGGATGGATGGTTGGACAGATGGACGGATGGAGAAGGGCAACATAATCTGAGTCTCTGACCTAAAGCAGGCTTGTTACATGAACCAATACATGTTTTTCTCTTAGGCTGGTTTGAACAGGATGTTAGTCAAGTTTTTGTTGTCATTATTATTGCTGTTATAACAATGCATAACAAACAGTCCTCAGATTTCAGTAACTTACCACAATTCACGTTCACATGACACTCTGGGATCAGCCAGGCCAGGACCCCGGACTTCCGATCACACTCAGGTCTTCCTTTGCCTTCATTCCCAGGCTGATGGGACTAAGGCTCCCTGGTGTGCGCTTTCCTCGCGGTGGTAAGAGGAAGTCCAGTCCTGCCCTTTCCTTCATGTGAGGACACAGGGAGGAAGAGGACATTATGACCCAGGAAGAGGGTCCTCACCAGACATCGAACCTGCTGGCACCTTGATCTTAGATTCCCCAGCCCCCAAAACTGTGAGATATAAATGTATGCTGTTGCGTTGTTGAAGCTCCCCACTCCATGGTATTTCATCAGAGCAACCCAAACTGACAAAGCCACGCTCTGCACTATCATGCCTCTCGAACGAGGTAAGTATGTAATGTCCAACACACAGCAGATTCTTGGGAAGTACGCATTTCCCGTCCTCCACCTTGACGAGGACTGCTGGAGACGGTAAGGCTTAGACTCTCGGGAGTGTGCCTTGCGGGTTTTGTGTGTGTCCTCGGCGACACCGAAGTACCGGCGGCGAGTGTGGGCTGACTCTGCCTCCCACTACCTTTGGGACCTTCGACAGATCGTCAGGCTCCCCCACCTGCGGGATGGGGCTGAAAATATTTGCCCCTGATAATTTCACAGAAGCACTGTGAGGTCTAGAATGATAACAAGTGTAAAAGTCCCTTGACATGTCCGGTCCTCTGCAAATTTGCTAGAAAGGCTGTATTTGTTCCTTAAGCCAATGAGGCTGATCTGTGAAGGCGACAAGCTGGACCTTGCCCTGCAGGTGAGAGCCGGCCCTTCCAACGCATTCTCCTCCTCGCATACCGAGCCGCAGGCTGAGTCTAACGACGCCGGTTCTGCTCCAAGTCTGCTTGGAATGTTTCTTTGGAAATTACCTCTACAGCTGCTTTACAAGCCAAAGGAGCGAATCAGTTTTACTACCTCCCAGGCCTCCATTTGATTCGGGGAGCCCAAAAGAGTGTTTCTGAGCATTATTCCCATCTTATTCCTAAGAGGAAGTTCTGGGTGACTTAGGCCTATTAAAAAATTGAAATCCACCTGCAGAGGGGGAGGGTCTGCCTCCGGGAGATGACCCAGGGGACTTGCCGTGGGACCTGAGAGCAGAATCGTTAGTTCACAGTCACGTTTCACGCTCATCAGACCACCATGGCCTGCAGTACCAGCCAGGCCTGTGAGCTGGGGCTTAGCCTGTCAAAGTACCAGGAAACCCACCCCTGGCATCTTCTCTGGACTGGGAGACGAAGCACTGCGAGAAATGAACATTGGTCGTTGAAGCCGCCAGTCTACGGCTGCCCTTAGCAGCCCGGTTACCTAAATCACTCCCTTCCTCCCTTCAGGGCACGCCTTCCTTCAAAAAGCCTTCCCTAAGCACATGCCCAGCAGAGACGAAGATGTAAAAAGAGACAAGGGAGGGGGTGTCCCGCAAGAGCGTTCACACTCGTATAAGAAAAGCACACAGGTCAACACGCAGGCGCAAGCAGGGTGTGATGTGCGCTCTGAGGGCAGCCCACGGCTGCTGGGAGAGCCAGAGACCTGGGCAGAAGGCACCCAGGTACTCAGGCCACAAGAGGGGAAACCACATGGTGTTCAAACAGCAGCACCCCTGGGGAGCTGTGCATCCCTGAGGTGGCCCAGGGGTGGAGCTGACCCAAGACCAGTGGGCTGAGCCCACCGTGTAGGCCTTGAACTCCACGTTACACCTCCTGACAACAGTTCAGACTCAGAGGGAGGAGAGGCGGGCTCTTGCCAACATTTTTAAACCTCTGACTTCCCCTCGAAGAGACAGGCAAAATGCACGTGCATTTCTCTAGGAAGCGATCTGCCAGGTTGAGGAGCACCCTGCCCTGCTGGGCTGGGGTCTGCTCAGCCTCTGTGGCTGTCGTTGCCCTTACAGCCGCCCGCTGTCCTCGTCCTGGTGCCTTCCTGGCTCTGTTGGTACTGCCTTGCTCCTTAGCTGGTTGATACCATTCACTCTGCCTACTCCAGAAATTCTTAAATCTGGATCCACAGTCTCCTTAAAGGATTCAAGAATTCCAGAGGATCCATGAACTTGAAAGGGAACAAAATTTACTTCTTTTTTGACTATCCTCCGACTGAAATTTGCTCCTTCCTTCAGTCATCGGTGTAGGCAACAAACGGCAGCAGCGTCAGCGGTCCCTGCCCCTGCGGCCGCGTCACCAACAGGAACAACTGCTGTTTCCATCTCATAGGAGGGTCGCTGCAGAGGGTCACGATGTGAGCGCATTCACTGCTGCTTGGGAATTGCGGTACATGTTAGCCTGCCACTGGGTATTATTGTCTAACACTTCAAAAAGCACGTACCTTGCACACATCCTAAATGTTTGTTTTACATTTGATCATCCTACTCAATAGAAATTGTTCCATTTATAATCCTGAATATTTCATTTTATGTACTTAATCCAATACTCCAAGAAGGGGTCAATCACACACACACACACACACACACAAATCTTAATAATTCCCTACTTAGGCACTGTTCCATGTGCTTATAAACACAAATTAGCACATACCATTTTTGTGCACACTGACATAATTAATGATGTGGCTTTTACAGCATAGAAAGAGTAAGTGAACTACTGAATACCACACAGTAACAGCAGCGTGGGGGCAGAGGGGCATCTGAACAGCCTGGGTCCTGAGGCCATGGCCTCAAGCACCTGGCTGTCCTCCATCCAGAAGAGACTGGGAGGTGCTGCGGGGCCAGAATCCCAGGGCATCCATTTGGCTCTGGGGGTGATGAGAAACCACACGAGGGTGTTCGGCAGAAAAGGAAATAGAGGACTTCTGGTCAAGAGGGAGGTGTGGGTGGACACACTTTGCCTCCTTGTGCAACCACAACAAGAATTATCACTAAATCTCAAAACAAATAACACCAAAAGCCATCAGAAAAATGAACTGTATGGAAGTCCAACAACCAAGGATTGAAAGATGCTGCATTCATCCACACAAGTAGGAGGGGCAAAGGCTTGGAGACGGGCAGCGAGGCGAGGAGACGCAGGGGGCATGGAGAGGGTGTGGGCAGTCCCACCTTCACAGGTGGTGGATAGAAATCAGGAAGGATACCTTGGGTGCGGGCAATCCCAGCCCCGGGCCAGACTGCAGAGCCCGGGGTTCTAGCACCAGGAAGATAAATCCTCATAACTTCTGGCTGTAAGAACAAGTGGGGGTTGGGGCAGTGAAAGAAATGGCCAGATTTTCAGGAAACTCTGCTTAAAAGACCCACATGGCCTTAGAATGTGTGCAAACCCACCCACTCTGGGATTCAGCACCAGAGCAACAGCCGGGAGGTCTCCGGTCACTTATAGGGAATGGGTGAAGTGTGACTAGAAATGGGGCAAGTGCCAGGCAAACCCCCAGAAGCCAGGCAGAGGCACAGTCCCCTCCCCGAGCCCTCCCTGACACAGAGCCACAAAGCAGTGAGGCAGGTCGCCCCACCCTGGTGAATACCAAAGGCTCTGCCCCCCACAATTAACAGGTGCCTTTTCTGTAACAGACCACACTACTAAAACAGGGAGTCAAAGAAGCTCTACCTAATGCACAGAAACAAACACAGGGAGGCTGCCAAATTGAGGAGACAAAGAAATATGGCCCAAATGAAAGAATAGAACAAAACCACAGGAAAAGAACTAAATGAAATGGAGATAACCAACCTATCAGGTGCAGAGTTTAAAACACTAGTGGTCAGGATACTCAAAGAACTTACTGAGTGTGGCAAAAATGTAACGGAAGAAATGAAGTTTACACTGAGTGAAATAAAAGTCTATAGGGAACCAACAGTGAAGGGAAGGAAGCTGGGATTCAAATAAAGATTTGGAACATAAGGAAGAAATACACATTCAACCAGAACAGAAATAAGAAACAAGAATTCAGAAAATATGAGGATAGTATAAGAAGACTCTGGGGCATCTCCAAATGTGCTAACATCCAAATCATAGGGATGCCAGAAGGAGAAGAGGAAGAGCAAGAAATTGAAAACTTATTTGAAAAAAACAGTGAAAGAAAACTTTCCCAATTTGACAAAGGAAATGGACATCCAAGTCCAGGAAGCACAGAGAGTCCCAAACAAGTTGAACCCCAAGAGGACCACACCAAGACATATCATAGTTAAAATGCCAAAGGTAAAGAGAGAATCTTAAAAGTAGCAAGAGAAAAGCAGAGAGCTCCCTACAAAGGAGTTCCCATAAGATATCAGCTCATCTCTCAAAAGAAACTTTGAAGGCAAGAAGGTTCTAGCAAGAAGTATTCAAAGTGATGAAAAGCAAGGACCTGCAGCACAGGTAGCAAACACAAATCCCGCAGGCCATATCTGGCCCTCCACCTTGTTTTATCCAGCCCAGCACCTTGTTTCTCCCAGTGGCAGTACCAAGATCCTTGCCCCTAGTTAAGGAGTAGATACATTTATACAGTCCTAAAATTACATTCGTCCCTTTGAAGGCAACCGTGAGGCTGATGTGGCCCCCCGTGAAAATGAGTTTGGCACCCCTGACCTACAGCCTACATTGCTCTATCCAGCAAAGCCATCATTTAGAATGAAAGGACAGATAAAGGCTGCCCAGGCCAGGTAAAGCTAAACAAGTTCATCATCACCAAGCCGTTATTACATGAAATGTTAAAGGAACTTATTCAAGAAAGAGAAGAAGATCAAAACTGCAAACATTAAAAAGGCAACAAATCCACTATTACAACTGAATCTAAAAAAAAACAACAACAACAACAACTAAGCAAACCACCAGACCAGGAATAAAAATCATAGGTATGTAGAGAATTTGGAGGATTATCAGCTGGGAGAAGGAAGGGGAAGAGTGGGGGGAAAGGTGCAAGGATTAAGAGGCATCATTTGTAGGCACAGAGTAGACAGGGGGATGTTATGAATAGTTCAAGAAATGGAAAAGCCAAAGAACTTATATGCATGATCCATGGACATGAATTAAGAGGGGTGGGGATTGCTGGAGGGAACGGGGGTACCGGACAGAGAGGGGCAAAGGGAGAAGAATTGGGACAATTGTAATAGCATAACCAATAAAACATACTTCAAAAGAAAGAAAGGAAAGGAAACAGTCGCATTTGCTCTGGGCAAAGACAACTTCTCTGGCAACGGAGAGGA